TGTGCTGTCCTAAAGAAAGAGGTAAGAATTTTTATTTTATTTGAGCTACTTCTGGGGGAAGAAAAAAAGAAACTGGTAGAGAAATGCACCAGTGTTGTGTGCACACACAGACATTAAACAACAGCAACAGAACCCTATTAAATCCCCACTAGGAAAGCAACAATCACAAACCATACTCCTCTCAGGACAGCACAAGTTATAGGGCCATTTAAGCTAATGTTTGGAAGGGAACTAATCAGCGAGAGCTGATCTACATTAATGAGATGAGCAGAAATAAATTGTCACTTGTATTTATCTTGCCAATTAATCTGTGACTTCTGGTGCAACCAATAAGTCAAAGGACTTGGTACCATTGACATAATCAGAAGGGAAAACACATTTATTAGGGACAAGAACAGTGGCACACAAAAAAGCTACATTGGTACAAATATAATAACCGGATAGCTGTAAGTGACTGAAAAACATCTAGGAGTAAGAGTATGATCTGACCACATGCAAGTCAGTGACTCACTCTAAAGGAAAATTACTGGCGGTTATTGAATGTCATAGTACGAGGGGTGTGTTATTAAGACCCACTTTGTCCTGCAGTGCTCCTTGAAGGTTGATGGAGTTCCTCCCTCCCCACCCAACTGAAGAAGTTTGTCCTGGAGTATTTGACATCCTTTAACTGCCTTGAGCTCTTTGTTTTGTTTTTAGTTCTTGCATTACCTGTGGTACATCCATACTACGGCATGTTGCACAGCCTTTTAAAAAAGTGAGGTCAATTTTTATTCTTGAACCATCTTTTGGCTTCCATCGTACTCTGTTCCTACTTTTCTTACCATCCTGGCTAGTCTTGCTCAATCTTTTCTTGCAGGTTTCTCTTCTATGTCTTCCCCTTAAACACTAGTGTTCTTCAGGTTTTGCCCTAGAGGTCTTCTCTCTGGCCCTCTTCCCACTCATGTCTTAGACACGTCTCCAAATCCACCTACTCAGCCTTGCTTTCTATGACCTGCCCTACCTCAAATTTATAATTTTCAAAACTGAATTTGCATTTCCCACCTAAATCCCACTAATCTTTCCAGGTTCTGTATCTCAATTTACTAAGTCTTCCAAAACAAAAGACAGTTTGTCCTTGAATCTGTCTTCTCTCCCTATAGATGCTATCAAAATATCCTTAAGTTTGCACATTTCTCTGTGGAGAAAATAGTCTATAGAAGTACGGACAACTTAACCCACAAAAACAAGCAAAATGCAGAGGCAGAAATCCATTTTTTTCAGTCCTTGTACCTTGCCATCCCTGATGCCAGCCAAGTCCACCCATAGGTTAATTAATGAGCCAATAAATTCTTTTTTATTTGAGCTAGTTCTCTTGCCACCTGAAGATTCCTGACTAATACTTGACTAACATTCAGTTCCTTTAAATCATCATGGCCTTTCCTATCTTGGTAAATTTGCCACCTACTCCCCCCAGAAATATTGTTCAGTCCCTATTTGCTCTTCTCTCATTTGCTCTAGGTTTTACCATAGATACCACCTTCCCAACCCCACAAAGTCCAGTTTGCATACTTTTTCTCTGTCTACCTGTAGTATACTGTATTTTATATCATGGTACTTATCACAGTGTATGGAAACAACTATAAACTTGTCTGTACTCTTCATGACATATATGTTCTGTGGGGGTAGAGACCTTATTTCTCTTGTTTATTGTTGCATCCCAGGCACTGATACTTCCAATAAATATTTACTAAATGATTATCTTATAGCCCTCATTTGTAAAATGAGAATATTTGATTATTCCAAGGTCATACAATTTTGAATAAGTGGCAGAGCTGCAGTTTCTTCCCGACTGAATCTGATTCCAGTGTTAATTCTAAATATAGCCAGATTCGTATGGATCATTACCCGGTGTCACATTCTGAGTCGCATATATTAAAAAGGTGTTTTAAATTTTACAAAAAACTTACCCCCCCAAAAATGTAATGGATATAAAACATAAATAAGTGAAGTCTCATTCATAGGGTTTTGAGGAGGAACCAAGAAATTGGAAGTATTTGACCTAAGAAAGAACTGGTCAGAGGAAGACATAACAGTATCTGCCTGTCTTCTCTGAAGCATCAACTGTAGCATCAGGAATAAAGAAGTTCTTGAGAAACAGGTGAATGGAGTTGTGAATTCTAGAGAGTGAAATCAGAATATGTTAAATAATCATTTACCATTTACTAGAGGCCTGCCTAAGCTGGGGAATAGATGCAGTATCCTCTGAGAATTTCCCTGGCTCGTGTGATCGTGTGGGAGGGCCAGCCGTTATGGTGGATGGCCAGGTGGTTAGGCTTTGTGCTCATCCACTGATTGTCCTCCTGTCTGCACCCCATTTCCTCTCTGCTCTTCATGTGTTGAAAGGCCTAACCCTATAACCACAGGGGTGAACCCCAAATCAATCATTGTACTCTGTCTTCTGAGGCTGGATTAGGAAAATGCTCTTGGTCTGCTCTGGTGAGAGCAGGAAATGTGCCCTGGGGGCTGCCAGGGGTCATATTCCCCATGACATGGAGAAAACCCAGCTGCAGAAGGAAAGAATGAAGCCAGTACAAAAAGGACAAGATTGGGGTCTTGGTAGAGAGGGGAGAAAGTGGGAAAGGGAGGGAGACAGAGACAGATAAAGGAAGAGAATGGTGTTTAAATTCCCAGGTTCTGATTTCCTTTGATTTTATTTATCAAAAATCTTTTTTCTTAAGCAAGTTTAAGGTTCTTTGCTACCACGTACAGCCTAAAGAATATTGACTTCAGCATTATATTTTCCTTTATAACAGTAAAGAACAACAGTAGGGTGGGAGGAAATGCTTTTCATTACTTTTCAGTCATATTGCCCTACATGTAGCAAGTTTTAATAAATAATGACATGCTGTTTTGCCAATCTTTTGATTGCCATCTTTTCTCTTGGATCTGGCTTTAAGACCTCAATGATGTGTGACAAAAATTTAGGGATTATTGTGATAAAGTTAAAAATACTTGTATACCCCCATTCTTTAATCTACACCAAAGATTGGCAAACTTTTCTGTAAAGGTCCAGATAATTAATGTTTTAGTCCTTGTGGGCCATAGAAACTACTCACTCTGCCGTTTCCTGTGAAAATAGCCAGAGACACTGCATAAAGGAATGAGCATAGCTGTGTTCCAATAAAATGTGATTTACATAAACAGAAAGCATGTGAGATTTGGCCTGCAGACTGTAGACACCTGTTCTATATGATACAAGTGCTTGCTTTATTATAACAGCAATGATTTCAACAGAAAATAGAGCATTTTGAGATTTTTAGATATGAAGGCTTTCTGGTTCTCTCCCATAAACCTTTCCATTTTAAGTTGGCAAGTCCTCAACATTATCTTAGCTGCTGCATTAATACACTATTTTAAGTAATTGGAAATGAAATACTCTTGTCCTTTACCATCTTGGCTGACCTTGTTCTCACCATTCCCTGTATGATACTAATGAAGCTTGAAATTAAATGTCATTTCTGTTTATCTGTTAACACATACACAGCATTTCCCATAAAGCACATGTCTTTTAAAGAACTGATTCATTGGAAAACATGGGTTTGAGCAAGATGTGATGGTTTCTTTTGGTCCGGTTATGTTTTTCCTCTTTTTAAGACTTAAGGTATGGGAACACATAATCATGCCTGCCTAACAATATGCTAACATATTATTAATATGTTAACAATAATCGAATTTGTTAGCTCAGAGTTTTTTGGGTTCTGTAGGTATCTGATCCCTGTTAGGTTTATGCATCCTAGTGGAGTTAGATTATTTTATCCATAAGGCAATTAAAGTATCTTTTATATTCCCTTAACCCTGGCCAATTATCTTCTGCGGTGGTTTTAAGATTTGTTCACCAAATCTTTGAGAGTCTCCCTTTCAAGAGGCAAAGTCTAGTTTCCTTTTCCTTGAGTATGAGCTAGACTTAGTTACTGGCTTCTGACAAAATTAAAGGGAAGCAAGGGTGTTTGATTCAGAGATTAGGCCATAAAAGACGATATAGCTTCTTCCATGCTCTCTCCTGGAAGCCAGCTACCATGTCCCAAGGATATTCAAACAGCCTTATGTTGAAACCTACATCCATGTGGCAAGAAATCCAGGCTTCTGGCCAACATCCTGTAAGGAACTGAGGACTCCTGCCAAGAGCCACATGAGTGAGTTTGAAGCGGACCCTCCAGCTCCGATCAAGTCATCAGACTACAACCTGATCGTAACCTCATTAGAAACCCTGAGCCAGAACCACCCAGAGAAGTCTCACTCA